GTAAAATTAGGTGCCTCGGCTGATATTCTGGTCAGCTTATACTTATATATATGATACATTATAATAAAATTACAGAGAAGTCAAATCGAAACAATGTGTAACCAATTAACTACTGATGTTTAATAATAATAAACTATGAGTCAATTTACTCTAAAATATTTTTAAAGGGCAAGAGCATAGTAACTGCAAATCAATCATTATTGATATCAAGCACATTTGTAAGACAAGATTAAGTGAAAATAATAAGTCGCATATTACCAAAAAATGATGGTTTATTGTCATTAATGCACAATAAATGAGTTTTAAAATGTTTTTACAACAAGAAAAAATAATTATTAACGAAATGCTAAGATAATAGAAGGGATGATATAAAGAGCTATATAATGTAGGTACTGGTTACTTTTATTAAACAAGATTAAAACACAGGAAACAATTATGAGTAATTTATTGAAGTAAGAACTACAAAGTAAAAATAAGGAAAAATTAATAAGTCTAAAATTTTAAATATTGCACATAAAGTGTTCTAGCCCGTGTGCCATAGTGTTTCCCGGTTGGGTTGTGATCCATATGGTTGGCAGTTTGAAGCCACCTGCAGCTCTGTGGGAGAAAGACTGGGCTTTGTCCTCCAGTGAACAGAATCTGGGAAAGCCACAAGGGGTCGTTTTGAGTCAGCACTGACTCAATGGGAGAGAGTTTGTTCATTTGGGGGGATTATTTTGGATGAAACGGTTAACAAAATACATTTTATAATACGAATACTTGTTAAATTATCAATTTATTTAATTTCAGAATTGAAGAGAAAGATCAAATCAATCTACAAAATCATAGTTGCAAATGAAAGAAATGTTGAAGTAAATTAAGTAATTTTTAAAAACTGAAGGGAAATTTTCAGCACCTGGAGAGGAAAAAGTGCAGTATCATAATGATTGTATAAAGACCTGGAGCTAGAAAGCCAGAAAATTAGGACAGATTCAACCTGAAAAACTGAAGAAAAAGAAAAGTCATGCCTTCATTTGAAATACTAAAAGATTCAATTGCCAAAGTAGTGAACCATACAGGGAGCATCAGAAGACAATGGATGGAATACATAGAGTCTCCATAGCAAAAAAAAAAAGTCACATATGATCAAGAACTGATGATACTGAAGAATTCCAAGATGCATTAAAGGCATTAGCAAAAAACAAGGCATCAGGAATTGGTGGAATACCAATTGAAATATTTCAACAAGCTGATAAAGCCCTAGAAGCATATTGCTCATCTGGATTACAGAATCCAGAAGACAGCTACCTGGCCAACTGACTTGATGAAATCTGTACCAATGCTTGTGAGAGGTAGGTTTATTGTGCCAACCTGGCCAACAAACACATGTGGGATTAATTGAAGGGCAGAGAGATAAATGGCTTGGCGAGACTTGCCTTTCTTGTCTCTTGCTCTTTGATGATCAGACCGGTATACCTGCTTTAGCTGGTTCTCTGCCTCAACTTGCAACTTACATACTTGTGAGACACCCAACCTGTAGACTGTGTCGCTGTAGTTTGAGGTTTCTTTAAGACCTGCTCCACTACACTACTGGAGTATATAACTCTTGAGCTGGGGACTGTATGACCC